GCCCTGACCGAATTTATCGTCTCGCAAGGATGGGCCTGCAGGAGCTATCACTTACAGTTATCCAAGATAATCTCGTACCTATACGACCACCCTTCGGGTGATAAGGAGGTTCGGGGGGGGGGAGGAACCAACGTCTCCATCGATCGGTCTCACTATCGATCTCACTATCGATCTCAGTATCGGTCTCGCTCGATCGATCTCCCTCGATCGATCTCACACTCGATCTCACTCGATCTATCTCACAATTGATCTGACTATCGATCTCACAATCGATCTCACAATCGATCTCAGAATCGATATCACATTCGGTCTCACTACCGATCTCACTATCGATATCACAACCGCTATCACAATCAACGTCATCATCATCGTCATCATCAACAACAACATCAACATCAACATCATCATCACCAACATCATCATAATCGGGACACCGTCCTCCTCATCAACACCAACATCATCATCATCAGTCGTCAACATCATCGGGACACCACCATCAGCATCATCATCATCACCATCATCACAATCATCATCATCATCAACATCGTCATCATCAGCAGCATCGGGACACAGTCATCGTCACCATCATCATCATCAGCAACAGCATCATCATCGGGACACCATCATGATCACCATCGTTATCATCATCATCATCATCATCATCATCATCATCGGGAGGACACCATCATCATCATCATCATCTCATCCTCATCATCGACATCATCATCAGCATCATCATCATCATCGTCATCATCGGGGCACCATCATCATCATTACCAACATCAGCATCAACATCATCATCATCACCACCATCGGGACGCCATCATCATCAACATCATCATCAGAATAATCATCATCATCGGGACGCCATAATCATCATCAACCTCATCATCATCAACATCATCATCGGGACACAATCATAATCAGCATCATCAACATCAACATCATCATACTCATCATCATCGGGACACCATCATCGTCATCATCATGATCATCAAAATTATCATCATGAGCATCATCATCCTTATCATCGGGACACCATCAGCATCATCATCATCATCGTCATCATCATCATCGACATCATCATCATCACCATCATCATCATCGGGACACCATCATCATATCATCATCATCATCGTCCTCATCATCATCATCATCATCAGCATCACCATCATCATCATCTTCATCATCGTCATCAACATCATCATCAGCAGCATCATCATCATTATCATCAGCATCACCATCACCATCACCATCACCATCACCATCATCATCATCATCATCATCATCATCATCATCATCATCATCATCATCATCATCATCATCATCATCATCATCATCATCATCATCATCATCGCGGGACACCGCGTCATCGCGGGACACCGCGGGACACCGGCGGGACACCGCGGGCCACCGGCCGCCCGGAAGGGAGTCATTTGGTCCGGCCGCGCCTCAGCCACACGGGACACCAGCGGGACACCGGCGGGACACCGCGCGCCACCGGCCGCCCGGGGGAGAATCATTTGGTCTGGCCGCGCCTCAGCCACAGGAGACTTTCCCTCGCCCGCCCACGCAGCTTCGCCTCGCCGGCACGGCACGCGCGAACACGAAACCGAAATCGATTTCCCGGTAGGGGGGCTTTCCGTTCCACTTCGATCTCACCCCCTCACCTCCGACCCCAAGGGCCACAAGTCTTTTGGTTGTCCGCCGAGGCAGAGTCTGAATTTTGTGATGATGTGTTCTGGCTGCGGAAAGTACAATGTATCGAATGTGCGAGAGCTCACAGAGTGCTGCCAAAGATTGCAAGAGAGCGGGGGACAGGACGCAGTGGAACCTTCTCTGCGCGGGGAAACACCCGAAGTCCTCGTTCCGTTCCCTTTATTTTTCCTGAGCCCCCCTCTGGGGCTCCAGGATTTGTTGGCCGCAGAAGCAGCCAGAATCACCGTAGCCCAGTCCCAACAGAAGGATGCAGGGCCTGAGCGGAGCTAGCTGCGCTCTCCAACCACGTGCTGATCCTCCACCTGCCCCTCCCCCTCCTCTTCCTCTTCCTCCTCCTCATCATCACAATCACCACCATAATCTTCATCATCATCATCATCACCAGCATCGTCGTCATCCTCATCATTATCAGCATCATCACCCTCATTAGCAACATCAGCATCATCATCAGCATCATCATCGTCTCCGTCGTCATCATTATCATCACCATCATCATCGTTCTGAGCGTCACCAGCATTACCATGATCGTCAGCATCCTCACCATCATCATCATCATCATCACATTCAACAGCATCATCATTACCACCATCGTCATCACCACCACCATCACCAGCATCATTATCAGCATCCTCATTGCCACAACCATCTCCATCACCATCACCATCACCATCACCATCACCATCACCATCATCATCATCATCATCATCAGCAGCAGCAGCATCAGCATCATCAGCATCATCAGCATCAGCATCAGCATCATCATCATTAGCATCAGCATCATCATCATCAGCATAACTATCACCATCATCATCACCACCACCATCATCAGCAGTGCCATCATCACAATTACCATGATCAGCCTCAACACCACCATCGATATCATCACCACCACCGCAATCATCATCATCAGCACCATTATCATCACACTCAACATCATCATCCTCAACATCCACATCATCACCCTCATACTCACCATCAACATCATCAAAACCCTCATCATCACCATCATCATCACCAGCATTACCATGACCATCCTCATCATCACTACCATCAGCATCATCACCATCATCATCATTGTCATCATGACCATCACCACCGCCATCATCATCATCATCAGCATCATCATAATCAGCATCATCGTCCTCACCCTTATCCTCATCCTCATCAGCTTCATCAGCATCGTCGTCGTCGTCATCATCATCATCATCATCGTCGTCGACGTCGTCGTCGTCGTCGTCGTCGTCGTCGTCGTCGTCGTCGTCGTCATCGTCATCATCGTCATCATCATCACCAGCATCATCACCATCAGCATCACCATCACAGTCGCCATCACCATCACCATCACCAGCATCAGCATCAACATCATCATCGTCATGAGGGCATGCACGAACGGGGAGATCCCCTTCCCCCAAACCCCGATGGGCCCACGGAAAAGAAGCGGGGGGACGGACGGGGTGTGTGGATGGTGGCGGAAGGCCAGGTGAGGGCGGGCCGATAGGGGTGGAATGGCACAAGCGGGAGGGGAGATGTGTCAGGTCGAACAGCCATCTTGCCTGCGACGACGACAGCAGGTCCCTCAACTTTGTGGCGCCTGGCCAGAACTCGAGCCTTGGCCAGCAGCAGATCAGAGGGTGGGACGGATGAGAGAGGAGTGGATGGGAGGCCTTGAGAGCACGGTGGTGGGGCAGAAGATCGTGAGGGGGAGCAATTTCCTCTTCAAATCTCCAATCGGCATTCTTTGCCAGTGGCGAGGGCGAGCGCCAACGCGGTCGAACAGGAAGCGGGCTGCGCCGGGCAAAGTCACACCAGACAAGTGGGAAAGAAGCGGGCGGCTGCGGAGGGGGAGCGCGAGAGGAGGCCTCAGGCGTAGAGAATCCTCGCGACGAAGATGGCGAAAGACCCGACCACATATGGGTGCGAGCGCCGCAAGGCATGTGGGACGAAGGAGTGGCAGGTCCCTGTGAGGAAGCGAAACGCGTGAGGGGTGTGCCGAAGTGGGTGCGGGGCCGCCATGCGGACCCTGCCGCTGGGGCCTTCGGTGGGGCTCCCTATGGGGCCACGAAGCGTGTGAACGGTGTGCCGAAATGGGGCGGTACCGCCATACGGACCCTTCCTCTGGGGCCTCCAATGGAACTCGCTATTGGGCCACAAACCGTGTGAAGGGTGTGCCCAAATAGGTGCGGGACCGCCATGCGGACCCTGCCGCTAAAGCATTCAGTGGAATTCCTTGCGGGGCCGCTGAGCGTGTGAGGGGTATGCCAAATTGGGTGCGGGGCTGCCAGGCGGATCCCGCCGCTGCGGCCTTCGGTGGGGCTCCCTATGGGGCCATGAAGTGTGATGGGTGTGCCCAAATGGATGCGGGGCCGCCATGCGGACCCTGTCGCTGGGGCCTTCGTCGGAACCCCTTATGGGGCCACGAAACTTGTGGGGCGCGCCGACATGGGTGCGGGGCCGCCATGCGGACCCTGCCGCTGCGGCCTTCGGTGAAGCTCCCTATGGGGCCATGAAGCGTGTGAGGGCTGTGCCGAACTGGGTTCGGGGCTGACATGCGGACCCTGCCGCTGCGGCCTTCTGTATGGAGCCACGGAGCGCGTGAGAGGTGTGCCGAAATGAGGCGGGGCCGCCATGGGGACTCTGCCTCTGGGGCTTTCGGTGGAACTCCCTATGGGGCCACGAAGCGTGCGATTGGTGCGCCGACATGGGCGCGGGGCCGCCATGCGGTCCCTGCCTCTGGGGCCTTCGGTGGAGCTCCCTATTGGGACCACAACGCGTGGGAGGGGTGTGCCGAAATGGGTGCGGGGCCGCCATGCGGACCCTTCCACATGAGGCCACGAAGCGTTTGAGGGGTGTACCGAAATGGGTGGGGGGCCGCCATGCGGACCCTGCCGCTTGGGGGTCTTCGGAAGACCTCCCCATGGGGCCACGAAGCGTGTGAATAGTGTGCTGAATCTGGTTCGGGGCCGCCATGCGGACCCTGCCGCTAGTGTCTTCAGCGGAACTCCTTCGGAGCCGCTGAACGTGTGAGGGGTGTGCCGACATGGGGCATGGGGATGGGATGAGGATGTGGATGAGGATGAGACGGAGGAGGAGGAAAAGGAGGAGGAGGAGGGGGAGGAGGAGAATGAACAGGAGGAGGAAGGGGAGGAGGAGAGGGAGCAGGGAGGAGGGAGAGGAGAGAAGAGGAGAACGCGGGGCGCTGTCTCTTTAGATCGTGGGCCCAACACCACGAGATGGTCGGGAACACCATGGGAAGGGAAGAAAGATGACGGGTCAGGCGCCGCCTCTTGCAATGCAAGACAATGAACTGGTCGTCGTTTACCTTCTGCCGCATGTTCGTGAACACTGGCATCCGCCGGAACGTGACCACCTCGATTTGACGTGCAAGGACAACGAGGAAGAGGGGAGGATGGTAGGAGGGGAGGAGGGAGGGAGGAGAGGAGGGGAGGGAGGGAGTGGGGAGGTGAAAGGGAAGGCGGGGAGGATGGGAGGAGACGAGGGGAGGGGGGATAGGAGATGGGAGGGGGATGGTAGGGAAGGTAGGGAGGGGAAGGAAAGGGCGGAAGGGGAGCTCATTTCGGCGATGAGTGGGCGATTGGGGGTAGATGCGTCCCCCCCTGAGCCTAACCCTAAGCCCCCCAGATGCTGCCCCCTGGTTTTCTGGTCGTATAACTCGGCTCTCTGGCGGCTGGTCGGGACGATCCCAGCCCCCCCCGGGAAGTTCTCGGCGAGGCGCAGCCTTGGGCCGTTGTTTGGGCCCATGTCTAGGGCCATGACATGGCGGCCGACACCACTGCCCGCAGATTCTGCCAATCCGCGGATTGCATTAACGAAGACGTTGCTTTCAAGGCCCTGATGGGGCGATCGGGCACCGCACGGCATTGGTATTGCTTCGCGCTGCATGTCATAGCATTGACACAATCTCAATTTCACTGCCAGGGTGCGCGCACTCAAACACTTCCTGACATAAGGACACCAGCATCGGCCGACACGTAAAATATCAGCGAGACGCCCAAGATAGCCTCCGAGACGGCCAAGATGGCCTCCGAAATGCCTCCAATACGCCCCCAAGAAGGCCTCCAAGACAGCGAAGATGGCCCCAAGATGCACCCAAGACGGCCCCAGATGGCCCGAAGATTGCCATCGACTGCCCAAACGTCTGGGGCCGCCTTGAGGCCAGCTCGGTCTGTATGGGACCCTTCCGGCGCCACGAGAAGGACACACACACACACACACGAGGAGGGAGGTGGATGTGAGAATGCGGAGGAGGATGAGGAGGAGGAGGAGGGCAATAAGAAGGATGTGGACGCCGGTGCGAAGTCGCGCCAACTTCGGCATGCACGACATGCTGCTCATCCGCGCCCTCGCGCTCGTCGGCTGTCGGCTGGGCTCCACGAAGGACCCCAGGAGGAACCCGACAGGGCCCCGAGAAGGTCCCAGGACCCAAAAAAGGAGGGGAAATGCGGCCGCGTTTGCCCACATCGATTCGAGGTTCCTGTGGAGTTCTTGGAGCCCTCTTGGGGCCTTCTGAAATCCCTCCCTTCTTGTCCCCTCGCCCTCCCACCTCATCTCCCTTCGTGTTGCCAGTGCCGCGCGGTGCAGTGATTTGCCGTACGTGTCCGAGGCCATCCACAAATTGTACTGTCATGTGCGGACACAAGGTCCCCGCCGGGGCCCCACCCCATGGACTAGGCACCGAGGTCGGGGCACCATCGTGTTGTCGAGCAGCGGACGTGCACAGTGGCCGAATCCACGGATTGTACTGTCAAGTGCGGACAGCCTTGTTTCGAGGCCGTCCGCAGATTGTAGTGTCAACTATGGACAGGTGTCCCTGGCCCACAGATTATACTGTCAAGTGCGGCCGCATTGCCTGGGCCTGTGCGCACATAATCCGCGGACAGGGGGTGCATCCACAAAGCAATATGCGGACACACGTGCTGCCCGTGGATGGTCCTGGGGAAGCGCCGAATCCGCACTTCAAACTTCTTGGTAACCCCTTTCGGTTCCTTGGGCCCCCCCGCCCGTGCTACCTGGGAGGCCCACAGGCTCCCACGAGGTCACTGCCATCTCTGAGCCTAGAGTGGCGAGGGCGTCGCAGGCGAAACGGGCAACGCCACTTCAGGTCAGGACATATCTGGGCCTGGAGATGCGAGGACGTCTTAGGCGAAACGGGCTGGACCACCTCGGGCCAGGGCATATCAAAGCCCAGGACTGCGAGGATGCCTGAGACGAAACGGGCTGGCCACGCGAGCGGCACTTCCTCCTGCTGCTACGCCTCTTCCGCCTCCTGCTTTTCCACCTTCTGCTGGTCTTCCTCTTTCTCCTTCGGACTTACATGGGGAAAGAGGAGGAGAGGAGGATAGTGAGGGTCCAAGGAAGCCGCGCAATGGACGTGGGTGACAACATCAATTATCCCGGCAAAGTAACCTAACAGCGATGTGTTGGAGCATATCTGGAAGCATTCCCCTTAAGATTCAGATGATAATCCTGTTGTAGAAGTCTGCTGTTCTCGCAGTCGTAGTCGCATTCGCGATGGCAGTCGCAGTGGCAACGGCAGTCGCAGTCACAGCCTCAGCCTCAGCCTGCCTCAGCCTCAGCCTCAGCCTGCCTCAGCCTCAGCCTGCCTCGGCCTCACCCTCAGCCTGCTTCAGCCTCAACATCCGTCTGCCTTCAGCCTCGGCCTCAGCCTCAGCCTGCCTCAGCCTCACCTTGCATCAGCCTCAGCCTCAGCCTCAGCCTGCCTCAGCATCAGCCTGCCTCAGCCTCAGCCTCAGCCTGCCTCAGCCTCAGCCTCAGCCTGCTTCAACCTCAGCCTCAGTCTGCCGTCGGCCTCGGCCTCAGCCTCAGCCTGCCTCAGCCTCAGCCTGCATCAGCCTCAGCCTCGGCCTCAGCATCAGCCTGCCTCAGCCTCAGCCTCAGCCTCAGCCTGCCTCAGCCTGCTTCAGCCTCAGCCTCGAGCTGCCTGCAGCCTCGGCCTCAGCCTCAGTCTGCCGCAGCCTCAGCCTGCCTCAGCCTCAGCCTCAGCCTCAGCCTGCCTCAGCATCAGCCTGCCTCAGCCTCAGCCTCAGCCTGCCTCAGCCTCAGCCTCAGCCTCAGCCTGCTTCAGCCTCAGCATCAGTCTGCCTTCAGCCTCGGCCTCAGCCTCAGCCTCAGCCTGCATCAGCCTCAGCCTCAGCCTCAGCCTGCAGCATCAGCCTCAGCCTCAGCCTCAGCCCTGCCTCAGCAGCCTCAGCCTCAGCCTGCAGCCTCAGCCTCAGCCTGCCTCAGCCTCAGCCTCAGCCTGCCTGCCTCAGCCTCAGCCTGCAGCCTCTCTCAGCCTCAGCCTGCCTCAGCCTCAGCCTCAGCCTCAGCCTCAGCCTTCAGCCTCGGCCTCAGCCTCAGCCTCAGCCTGCATCAGCCTCAGCCTCAGCCTCAGCCTGCCTCAGCATCAGCCTGCCTCAGCCTCAGCCTCAGCCTGCCTCAGCCTCAGCCTCAGCCTGCTTCAGCCTCAGCCTCAGTCTGCCTTCAGCCTCGGCCTCAGCCTCAGCCTGCCTCAGCCTCAGCCTGCATCAGCCTCAGCCTCAGCCTCAGCCTGCCTCAGCATCAGCCAGCCTCAGCCTCAGCCTCAGCCTCAGCCTGCCTTCAGCCTCAGCCTCAGCCTGCTTCAGCCTCAGCCTCAGTCTGCCTTCAGCCTCGGCCTCAGCCTCAGCCTGCCTCAGCCTCAGCCTGCCAGCCTCAGCCTCAGCCTCAGCCTGCCTCAGCAGCCTCAGCCTGGCCTCAGCCTCAGCCTCAGCCTGCCTCAGCCTCAGCCTCAGCCTGCCTCAGGCCTCAGGCCTCAGCCTCAGCCTCAGCCTCAGCCTGCAGCCTCAGCCTCAGTCTGCCTTCAGCCTCGGCCTCAGCCTCAGCCTGCCTCAGCCTGCCTCAGCCTCAGCCTCAGCCTCAGCCTGCCTCAGCATCAGCCTGCCTCAGCCTCAGCCTCAGCCTGCAGCCTCAGCCTCAGCCTGCTTCAGCCTCAGCCTCAGTCTGCCTTCAGCCTCGGCCTCAGCCTCAGCCTGCCTCAGCCTCAGCCTGCCTCAGCCTCAGCCTCAGCAGCATTCAAAATGTGGCCCGGGAATGGAGTTCTGGGAACTCGAAGAACACGAAATGGCCTACAGTTGGCTCCGGGCATTCAGAATCATGCCCAGGAATGGAGTTCTGGGAACTTGAAGACCACGAAGTGACCTACAGTTGGCTCCGGGCATTCAAAATGTGGCCCGGGAATGGAGTTCTGAGAACTCGAAGAGCACGAAGTGGCCTACAATTGGCTCCGGGCATTCAAAATGTGGCCCGGGAATGGAGTTCTGGGAACTCGAATGTGGCCCGGGAATGGAGTTCTGGGACCTCGAAGACCACGAAGCGTGTAACTGTTTGCTAAAAAAATCCCCGGCACCCTCCCCCGGACCGCGCCCAGACCCCCCTGGGGCGTCATGATGCTCTCTTTTGACCCTACTAGAAACCTATCAGTCTTCGCTGTTAGGTAAAAATTGACGGAGCTGTTGCCCATGCGCCAATTTGCAACATATTGGTGACAACCACGGGTAGGTATAATTCTTTGGTTCGTTGACCGCGCGCCTCGGTTGATCCGGCTGCGCCGCGTCGGAAGAGCGCACTGCTGCGCTCACACGCGACCTTACGCTGGCAGCTTACCCGCAAAGGTCGGCGCAATGGGACCCGCTTCCTTGCATCGCTCAAATGGGTCAAGGGAGGGCATAAAGGCAAACTCGCTCAAGACAGGTCCCAGGACTGCTCCCGGGATCCATCTGGTGCAATTCTCCAACCCGGATCTGTTTTGGACGGCCGCGGGGCCCGAAGAAACGGTCCCCAGGGACCGAACAACGACAAAAAACCCTCTGGAACTTCGAAGCCGGAACCTCCCCCCTTCCTGATGGTCGGAGCCAATGCTGGGCCACCTCAGACCCCTGGCCGACTCCGACTCCTCATCCTTGATGGGCCGGTTTTCCACCACCACCACCACCACAAGTTGGAGGGGGGCAGGAGGAGGAGGACGATGAGGAGGACGAATAGGAGGAGGAGGAAGATTTGGACGCCCGAAATGGGTACGGAACAAATGGGTACAATGCCCAACAACAAGTGTCGTCCCAAACCAACAGCGGCCGCTATTGGGCAGGCTGCCTTCTGTCTCAAGTGGACACAGGCCGCGGCGGCGCGGGCAGCGAATTCTATTCAAAATCAGCAGGAACTGCTGTTGGGCATTGTACCCTTTCTTTCCGTACCCATTTCGTGTGTGCCGAGAGGAGGAGGAGGAGCAGGAGGAGGAGGAAAAGGAGCATGAGCAGGAGGAGGAGCAAGAGGGGGAGGAGGAGGAGGAGGAGGAGGAGGGGGAGGAGGAGGAGGAGGAGGAGGAGGAGGAGGAGGAGGAGGAGGAGGAGGAGGAGCAGGAGGAGCAGGAGCAGGAGCAGCAGGAGGAGGAGGAGGAGGAGGAGGGGGAGGAGGAGGACTGCCGCCCTGAGAGGGGCGCGCCCCGGTCGACGCACCGAGCGCCGCCACCCCGCCCCGCCGCCGGCGAGGAGGCGCTCCGCGGGCGTGGCCGCGCACGGCTGTACGCGTGCTCCTGGCGCAAGGCGCCCTCGGGATTCTCGAGGAGGCCACCGCGGCCTCCATCCAGAGTGCCCCTCACGGGGAGCTTCGAAGGAGCTGCGCAGAGGAGTCCGACACGTGTCTCGTCTCGGGAAGGAGTGGGAAAGCGCCTGCCAGGACCCGCTGGAAGATCACAGGAGGCTTCGCAGGAGGCGCTGCGAGGTCTGGAGCGACGCCCGAACGAGCCAGGGGGGCCCCCAAAGGAAGCGACCAGCCGGTGGCAACCTGGGCCAGGGACGCCCTTCGCAGCCCCCGATCCGTCGCACAGGGCGCTGGCTCCTCGAGAAACCTTCGGTGCTCGTGCCCCGCTGCTCGTGTCAGGCGTGCTGGCGCCGCGAGTCGCGTCCCCGGTGGCGAGAGAAGCGGGCGCGAGGGCCAGCGGGTCAGCCCCCTCGCTGCCCTCTGCGGCCTCGGGACGGCCGCCCCAAGGGAGCGGCACGTGCGCCCCCCGGAGAGCTCTCCACGAAGGCAGCCGGTGGCAACACTGTCCCCCTAGTGCTTGCAACTCGTTTATGTCGCCCGCCTCGCCCATATCCTCCTCCTCCTCCTCCTCCTCCTCCTCCTCCTCCTCCTCCTCCTCCTCCTCCTCATCCTCCTCCTCTGCCTCCTCTGCTCCTCCTCCTCCTCCTCCTCCTCCTCCTACTCCTCTGCCTCCCTCCTCCTCCTCCTCCTCCTCCTCCTCATGCTGCTCCTCCCCACTAAAATTCCTCATGCTGCTGCTGCTGCTGCTGCTGCTCATGAAGCTGCTGCTCATGCTGCTGCTGCTGCTGCTGCGGCTGCTGCTGCTGCTACGCCTCCTTCTCCTTTCTTCTCGTTCCATCATCATCATCATCATCATCATCATCAGCAGCAGCAGCAGCAGCAGCAGCAGCAGTATCATCATCATCATCATCATCATCACCATCACCATCACCATCGTCATCGTCATCATCATACAAATCATCATCATCATCATCATCATCATCATCATCATCATCATCATCATCATCATCATCATCATCATCATCATCATCATCATCATGATCATTAGCATCATCATTATCACCATCATCAATCTCACCATCATCACCATCATCATCATAAACGCCAACATCATCATCAGCATCGACATCATCATCATCATCATCATCGTCATCATCATCATCATCATCATCATCATCATCATCATCATCATCATCATCATCATCATAATCGTCGTCATCGTAATCGTCATCATCATCGTCATCACCATCATCACCACCACCATCTTTATCATCACAATCACCATCATCAGCATGATCATCGTCATCATCAACACCATCATCATCAACATCATAGTCATCATCATTCTGATAGCCCACCAAAGAAAAAAAACACCACAAGTCCAAATTATAGTCAGCCTTATATCCCGCTCAAGGCGGTGGATGACGAAGTAGACCGGGTACGTGAGGTGCTCAGTCCCAGCCCGTTGCCCCTTGGGAAGCAGGGACCCGCGAAGGTGGTGCTAACCCGACGAGCTGGAGCCATGGACTATGGCGCGCGGGCCGGCCGCGCGCGCTGGGATGGCCTTGAGCCAGACCCCCCCCCTTTTTGCCACGCCCCCCCTGGTTAAAAAAGGGGGCCTGGCAAAAAGAAGGGGGTCTTGAGCCAAGACTTGAGCCAAGTCCTCCTTGAGCCAAGGCTCCAGCTGTTGTACAGACTGATGCAGCAAAGTGGATCTACAGAGACCCCCAGGCGTCCCTCCTGTTCCCTCTTCCCTCCTGTCCTCCAAAGTGATTGGACGGGGCAGCGGTGGCTTTTCGGCCGCGGGACAGGGCGGCACAGTAAAAACTGCCGACGATGGTTTGGAGAATGATGCAACCCTGTGGATATACAGCGATCCCCAGACTGCGCCGTGGCTTCAGACGAGCCCTTGCGCAGCGTCGACAAACCTCCCGACTGCGGCAATCGCCCAACAAATGTGAATTTGACTTGCGCCCTCGAACACGCCCGAACCAGACCTCCCCCGACTGATTTGCGGGAGGAGCCACGCGGGAAACGGGTCCACGACCCTGTGGCTTTCGCTGCGGCCAGCATTTCATCCTGAACCGTTTCCTGACGGTCCTGCCGGGCCGGGCGAAAGGGGGGGATAGCAAAGGGGGGGTTTGAGAATCAGCTCACGTAGCTGATTTTCCCGGCGCCTCCCGGCGCCGGGAGGTGCCCATGTATCGAGGAATGGGCCCGGCGGCGGGGCCGAAACCAGCTGCATGGAGCAGATTTCGTAACCCCCCCTTTCCCGATCCCCCCCTTTCGTCCGGCCCGATATTGGGGGCTGGGCACGCGGAGGGTCCTGGGAGACCCAGAACAGCGACAACGATCCGGCAAGCCCCCATTCTCCTCACGGGGCTCCCGCGCGACAACGATCGACGAGAACGTGCCGCCTCTTCGGCGAAGCGCGAAATCCGGCCACGGCCCTTGCCGTCCCGGGCTCGCCCGTCGAGGTCGCCAAAGCGTCGTCACCATCGTCGTTGTCGTCGCCGTCGTCGTTGTGGTCGTCGTCGTTGCCATCGTCGCCGTCGCCGCCGCTGCCATCGTTGCCATCGTCGCCATCGTCGTCGTCGTTGCCGTCGTCGCCGTCGTCGTCGTTCTGGTCGTCGTTGTCGCCATCGTCGTCGCCAGCGGCCGCGTCGCTGCGACGGCGGCATGCCGGCCGGCGGCGCGGCAGCGGCCGGCGGCGCCCGCCTTGGGCATCCTGCCTGGGCGGCGCGCCGGCTGGCCGGGCTGCCGCCGTGTGGGGGCCGCCACCAACGCGCCCTGCCGGTGCGACGACGACGACGACGACGGCGACGACGACGATGACGACGACGACGACGATGGCGACGATGGCGACGATGGCAGCGACGACGACGGCGACGATGGTAGCGACGACGACGACCGCAACGACGAAGGCAGTGCCGCCTTTGGGCGGCACAACGACGACGACGACGACGACGACGACGACGACGACGACGACGACGACGACGACGACGACGACGACGACGACGACGACGACGACGACGATTGGGCCGAGCGAGGCGTGGGTGTTTTTGGGGGCGCGGGCGGCTGCTGCTCGAGGGTGGAGGGTCCAAGAGGAGGAGGAGCGAGGATTGAGGAGGAGGCAGGAGGAGGATCGAGGATCAGTTTTTTGGATCCTGGAATCCATGAGGCGGGGGAGGAGGACAGGACAGGGCACCCGCATAAGGGGGTTCAACGTCAAAACTCCTACCCTGGTGCCTTGCTCGTTTCTGACAAAATCCCGTGCAATTAAATGTGCAACGGCCCTGCCTTCTTACAAGGGCCGGCAGGGGGCATACCACGTTGCTCAAGGAGTGAGCTCCGAGGTGGCCCCCGTGACAGAAGCTCGCTACCTTACGATTACGAGTCCCTGCGGTGCGGGGGGAGCAGCTGCTGGCCCTTCCGCGTGCCCAAGTGGATGGGTGCGCGCTGGCTTAGCAGCGCGCCCAAGGAATGGGGGAGGAGACGACGACACGAAAACTCAAAAGGAGGAGGGGGGGAGGGTCGGGAGGACCGAATTCCCAAACTGTTGCTGGGGGACCTGGTTACCCTTCTGGTTTTATTGCATTCTCTCCTCTCCCGCTCGGCTCACTTCTCTTTCACCTCAATATGACCGAAACTGCCCCATGCATTGTCGCATCTGTACTCTGATACCCTGCTGTAGTATCCCACTGTTGCCCCTAGATGTGTATGTGGGGAAGAGCATACTAGTAGTAGCGGTATGTAGTAGGTGGGCCATCGAGGAAGCACTCTGGTGGACTTCGTGATGGTCACTTTTTCCACACAACCTTCCCACTGCAATGAAAGTGGGAGCACTCCGTGATCGCCCGTCCTGTTTGCCTAGAGTAGCACTCCGAGAAAAACCTCGCTAATGCATCTCTTGGCTGCCTGTGTGCTAGTCAAGCTTGCCAAGAGTGGCACTCCGAGAGAACCTCGCTAATGCATCTCTTGGCTTTCCAATGGGCCCCAGTGGGTGCTCTCGCTGGTGGCCGCTGGGGGAGCTGGCCACTGTCGTCTCCTCCGACTTGAGGTAGACGAACTTTGCCTCGAACATCTCGGTGCCATCCAGCAGGGTCTGCGTGCTGTCTCGTTGCCCCTGGCGCTCTTTGAACCTCTTCACTTCCTCTGGGTCGAGATTGTCATCGATAGTCAGTTCCTCTATAGCAGCCCCCATGACTTCGTGGAGGTTCTCCTCGTCGCCCTTCGAAATCTTCAGCGCCAACTTACACCTGCTCTGCGTGCTAAAAGCCCCCCCCCCCCCTTGCCTTTTCCATGCGCCCACAGGGCACCTTGCGATGACATCGCGTCCTGCGATCTTGGGTGCCATCGAGAAGGGCGCGGGAATCAGCTGGAATAGCTCCTCTGGGCTCATTTTCTGGGCGGCATCGTAGAGCTGGTAGCGGCACTCCTTGGTGGCGTCGTCTAGCTGTTGCGGCAGCCTTTCCGCTTCGAGCGCTTGCCATCCAACTCGCACTTTGAGCTCCACCACCACTGGCCGTCCACTCTTGTACGGGGGGAACTTAGACTTGCGCTCGATGTCCGGCAGCGATTCTCGCACGCGCGCGCCGGAAGTGGCGCCCCTATTCGGCTCGCCCAGGGAATGGTGGTTGCGAGCCCCGCAACGTAGTGGCCTGCAGGCCTCTGCCCGCGGTGGCCGCTTAGCGCGCCAGTGCGCCTGGTGAACTAGGGCCGTCGGTGGGCGGCGCGGCGCCGATCTCCAGGTTCGCTGCCCAGCATCGCGGCCGAGGCAGTCGGGTAAGCCCAGGGTAGGCCTAGGGGAGGGACTCCACCGGCTCGAAGCAGGCGCCCCGAACAGCCAGGATCTGATCCATGGGGGGGGGGGGGGGCGAGGACAGAAGCCTCAGGAGCCCTCCAGTCGTCTGAGAGGCGTGCTTGAATGGGGCCCCAGGACACACAAATAAATACACACAAACAAATCGATTCCCCATATTTTCCCATGTTTGCCCCTCGCAGTCATCGCCGAACGTGCTCTTCATCTTGCCCGCCCGCTCCTTCATGAGCACATCTTCTGAATGGCTCTCTTGCGCGCTGACAAGGCTGTGACCAGTCCACCTTGCGCCCGAACTGCCACTTGCCCCCTCTTGAGTCGGCGCTGGGGCCTTTTTCACCGTGACTTGTTTGGGAAGGCGAGCCCGCGCGAGCAGGCCCCGGCCGTCTTTGCGCCCCAACCCGCGCCCCTCCTGCACGCGCTGAACAGCTGCATGTTGTCGCTCCACTTGTTCGCGAAGTCCAGCGCCTTGAAGTGCGCCGGCGGTTTTCTCCCATGTTCTTCGCCGTCTTGTAGTCGCCCATCTCGTGCAGCTCTTTCTCTTTTTCCCCCAACCCTTGCTTTGCCGCCATCGGTGCGTCCTCGTCATTGATGTTCACAGCCTCGCGCCTGTTGAGCATGGTGTCGAATTCCTCTGCGCGGCGAAGGAGCCTCTGTCATCTTTTCTCCTGCTTTGCTACCGGCTGCAAAGATGCCTCCATTAATTTGGATGACATCCAATAACCTTGCCATCTACTCTGGCATCTCCAGGGCCAGCTTGTCCCTTTCAGTGCGAGACTTTTTCTCTGGGCCTTCTTCCTCCACCAGGAGGGCCTGCGCTGCTTTGATCTGTCCCAGGGCCTGGACTGCCGCGCGGCTCCACTTGGTGTCTGTTCTCGGCAGGCCTCCTCTCTCGAAATTTCCTTCTCCTCCATGCAGCTTATTTTCTTCGTCGCTCCATTATTTCCACTCCTCGCGCCTCAGCTCCAGCTCAGTCGACGTGCGCTGTCTTCCATTGACTGCCTTTGCCTCCTTGAGCTTCGTGACCAGGTTCATTTCTTGCGTGCTCCTTGCGGCTCTCGATCATTTTGTAGTGCCCCAACCCTTTGATGCGTCGCCCGCAGGGCCATGGCTGGCTGCTGCCCGCGAAGGCCACTGGTGGCCCCCCCGCGTTGCGCGCTGCGAGAAACCCCGCTAGTGCGCAACGCTGCGCGCCCAGGCCGTCGTTGCCAGATCACCTGTGGGATCCGAATGTGACCGATGGGGGCTGCCCTGTTAGTCGCGCAGTACCTTGTATGCTGGTCCATTCCCCCCACTGACCGTGACCCGCCCCTGCGCGGTGCGCATTCTGTGCAGCGCGCAGAATGCCCCGACCACCATCTCACCGTATATGTAATGGTAAGAAGGAGGAAACACAACATCGCGCCGTCATGGTAGTTGATGTTGTTTACTGACAGGGACGGGTGGGCTGCTTGTTGCCAGGTAGGCCTTTCCCTAATGCGTTTCTCTGCAACTCCGCTCCCCGCTCTGCTTCAAAAATTAAGGCCACTTCGTATGCTCACCCACCTGGGGCGAAGCGTCTGAGCTTAGAGAAGCGTTGAACGTCCATGCCGATCGACTCCGCTACTCTTCCACCATGTGAAAAGTGCCCCTTCCTCTTCGCCCGTGCGCTGTTGGGCGCGCCGGCTACGCCCGGCTGCCCTGAGGGGGGCTCCCCTGGAGCGGCGCCCTCATTGCTTGATGCTGACGCCGTCGGAGATGCCGTGCAAGTGCTTGTCCGCGACAGCCGCGGCCTATCACTCTGCCCTGGTCTTTGCACTTCGAGATAGCCTCGCTAATGCAACTGCCCCTTCTGTCCTCGGCGGTGTCGCACTCCGAGATGACCTCGCCGCTGCAACCGCCCCTTCCGTCCTCGGCGGCGCCGACATTGAAGCTCCCGCTCCGCCGTCCTCTCCAGCTCCGACGTTGGCGCTGCCGACTGGGACTTCTGTCCCCCCGCGTAGACGATCGGCGCCCCCGCTGCCGCCCTCGGGGCGCAGCCCGCGAACTGGCCCAGCTTCGCCAAGGTATCTTCCTTCATGTCCTTCGGGAGCACCGCCCTGAAGTTGGGGGGCTCGTTGATGCCGATCTGGATATTGCCTGAGCCCTCCTCCCAGAACTCCTGCTCGTCCTCGTTCGGGTTCCTGTTCTTGTTGTGGCGCGCCTTGTAGCTCTTGCTGACCTTGCACATCTTGATCGTCTTTGTGATCGCGGCTCGGCTGTGCTCGCTGTCGTCCTCCATCAGTTTCAGGACAATGTTCAGGAAGTCCATTGCCCGATCTATTGATGCTGGTGTTGCCGTTGTATCTTCCTGCTGCCAATCCGACGCCATCTCCTGGGCGCCTTCCATGAGCGCCATCTCCGTGTGAATGCCTGGTGGCCCCATCTTGCGCCACTTGCCCTTCTCCCCGACCTGATTCCCGTAGTTCTGCCCCGCTGCCGGCGACTTTCGAAACGCCCACTTGCTGACTGTTCTGAAGTAGGAATGCGGTGCCATGTGCTTCATCTTTCTGATCTCGGCTGCCGAACGGAGGGCCAATCGCTGAAGTCCGTTGATGCACCCTCTGGGGTCGAACTCCTCGTGATCTTCCGCTGCGCGTGGTTGGCGGGGGGGGGTATTCGCCCTCCTCCTCCGCCTTCGCTGCGCCCTCCCTTCGCCGCGGCCGCGGCCGCTGGCGGGCTGCCCGACGCCTTGGCGCTGGTCCCTTCTGCATACCACTAGTCTTTGCTCCTTTCCCCTTGCCGCCCTTCTGGTGCTTCGGTTCTCCTTCCATATCGGCGCTTGCCTTCCCTTTTTCGGCGGAAGTAGTCTTCGCGGTGCCATCGCCATCATTCCCGCAGCATTGGCCAGGGTGGCGGCAGCGCGCGCGAGGCTGAAAGCCTCCCCGGGATTGAGCCTCGTTGCCACAGAGGACTCAGACGCGGGAAATGGGGGCTCTTGGACCGGGTGATT